GATCAGCTAGTTTCACCAGCATTCAGAGCTGCGATTGAGGAGGTTGAGCGTCGTCACGGTAGTCCAAATTGGGGCTGCACGTTTGCAGGGATTTACGGGTTGCCATTGAGGAGGGTCCGTCAAGACAAAGGCAATTTCCCCACAAGCAGAGCCTCAAGCAGACCTAGGAGGCCAAGGAGACAGAGCCGGCACCCGGCTTCCGCGCTCTGGACGGACCCGTGTACCCGATCTCACCGAGGCCACCGACACAAACGGAGGGATCACGTCCTCCACCTAGACCACGGTGGTCCACCTCCAATGGTTCACCTCGACTTGAGGGCCGCTCTTGCCAGTGCGAGTTCAAGAAACTGCGTTTTGTTGAGTTTGAGGTTTGGTTTCCCCGGGAGGGATGAGAGAGCAAATGAGGGTTTCTACACGCCCACCGCAGGAGGATTTCTACAATGCTTATCTCAACAATGGGGCGGTGTTCGGATCTCGAGAGTCTGATGATAGAGTCTATTGTGGCGGCAGATGAGAGAGCATTCGGCCATACTTGTCATATTTGCCAGACCCATGATTTGATTGGACGGACGGGATATATGTACCATCTTGGGTTTGTCGGTTCTATGCTTCACTCTTCATCGATCCACATCACATGTTTATTCACTTTGCTTTCGAGGCAAAGACTATAGAGTGACGAGTGGCGGTCGAGAGATATCTTGAGGCTACTGAGGAGCAGCTGTCAAGATACATGAGGTCTGTATGGACAGCAGGAGCCTCCCAGGCGTCCTCACGGAGGTTTGGTGCCTCCTACAGATTTAGTGCGACATTGCTTCAAGGAGCCTTTTGGAGAGGGGTCGAGGAGGAACCCCAGTGACTTGACTCCCACAGCGAGAGTGCTAGAGGCTATTATTAGGAGGACACTGCTTCCCAGGTTGGGATATAGAGAGGCTGACTCAAACTTGACTCGGCTTCTTAATGCCCTAATGCAAAGTGACAATTGATTTGATATCTGGGACCTCCTTCTTTCAGAGATGGAGGACACTATAGCTGAGGGATTCAAGGGTCGCAGGTAGCTTCCTTATGCGCACTGGATCACATTTCTTATCCGCAGAGTAGTGCTTGATAAGCCCCCTGGTATGATGGATGAGTATACAGGTGCCACCACAGAGTTCCCAGCTTACAACCTGTCACAGAGGATCAGACACACCACTCCTCAGGCACCCAGACAGCCTAGCCGTCGTCCCCGCGTGCGAGTCCGCAGCTTCGGCAAGATGAGATCATCGGAGGATTGCGCCACCGAGGAGGAGGAGCTAGAGGCACAAAGCGGGAGGTGAGTGAGTGAGAATGCGATGGCAGCTCGGCGACGACTACCGGCCTATACCTCGAGATGCCTCCATGCGACACCGATCTGCGAGCCGGTAGCTCCAGTTACGCTCCACTGCTCCATGAGACAGACCCGCTCTCATTGCTATTCTTGGCGGATGCGGCGGATCGAACCACAGCGAGCAGAGAGGCGGTGCCAACCGCTGATTTTCAGCTCGTCGGGGCGAGTTCCAACGGCAACAATAGCTCCTTCAAACACCAAGCGAGCATTATGCGGCGGCGGCTCATGGGATTCATGCGGCATGTAGTGACGCCCATTGGGGTTCCACTCGCCACGCCCTTCGCCCGGCTTGCACGGCCTCCTACCACTTCGACGACTCCAAAGATGACAGCCCGGTGGGCTCCAGTCGAGACCGCCTCCAGCTCGATTTGCTTCACCGCCTATCAGGTGTCCCAATGGTTAGCCTCACCGTGGTAGCCCAGCGATTCACTCCACTTCAGACGGGCTTCACACCGAGCGCCTTCCTCGCTATTCGTACACGAGACGTCGGTCTCCGAGAGTCTTGAGCATCCTTCAATGAGTTGATCGGCATGCCTACTCCGCCTCATATGCATACCGCCCGGTCTTCTTGGCAGCTCGATCGCGGCGACTACTCGAGGCTCCCTCGTCATGCCTCGTCGATCCCTCAGACAGACATACTAGCAGCTTCACAGGCAAAGACAGATCCAGCTCAGACCAGACCGCTTGGCAAATGACACTTCCCCCACAGAGGGTCGGTCGATTCAGAGCTTCGGGTCGATGATGATGGTGCCCGGTTCAAATTGCCCCTCGTTCTTGAATTGCCTTCGTCCATTGCATCCTCGCCGTCCGCCCCTAGGTTTTGGTGTTTGACACCAAAGGGGGAGAGGGTGTTCGAGTATGTAGTCTCAGGGGGAGCTACATTCAGGGGGAGCTAGTTATCTAGTATTAGCCTATTATATACATTTGGAGTTCTATTTGTGTGATACACTATTACTTGTGCATTCGTGTGTTTACTTTCATGCATACTATTATATATATGTGATAGTGCTATCTACGTGATTGTGATATTTGACATGTGTGATTTCTACTTTGCATTATCTATATGTCATATCACTTGTGTTATGCTCATTTGTTTTTGCTTCCGCGTTTATACTTCAAAGCAAATGAGCTTTGTTACTTGTACTCATGCTTAATTCATATCCTTTGAGTATACTGTGTTGGCTTGGGTCATATAAGCTTGCCTAACTCTTTTGTTCTTAACGACAAAAGCTTATATGAACCAAGCCCTTCAAAAACCTCACTCTTTAACATACTCGAGGCGGTATTGTCATCAATCACCAAAAAGGGGGAGATTGAAAGCATCTAGGCCCCTAAGTGGATTTCGGTGATTAATGTCAATACAAAATTACTATGACTAACGTGTGTTTTGCAGAGGCAATTAAGTTAGGTCATGGTAATAGAGATCGATTGGGCAATTGAGGTTGTCATGCCCCTACGATGGAAATCGTTTCGGTTTTCAAAGGATGGACGGCAAGGTTAAGGATAACTAGTTCTAAGTGTCAATTGAAGTTGGAGAGACACTTAGAGTAGTTTAGGACTTTGTTTTTCCTTTGGCCGTACTATGAAGGGGGGTATGAACGGGTAGCTTGACCTAGTTGAGTCTAGTGAGTTAGGTGTGGTGCACACTTATTAAAACTAGCTCTAGGTAGCTCCTATGAATGCCTAAGATCCTTTGGAGCTAACTTCATTCACATATGATCAAAAGTTGGAAGTGAATGGAGGGTCAAATACTGACCGGACGCTGGCTCCGATGCGATCGGACGCTGGCCGCAGGGTCCGGTCAGTTCATTTGACTGAGGAGAACAAGTCTGGAGTGACCGGACGCTGGAAGGTCGTGTGACCGGACGCTGAAGGCCAGCGTCCGGTCGACTCCAGTAAGGGTCTAGACTTGAGAAAGTATGACCGGACGCGTCCGGTCAGTGGTGACCGGACCCTATGTATCCAGCGTCCGGTCGTTTACAGTAAGCATCCAAGATCGACCGGACGCGTCCGGTCAGTGCTGACCGGACCCTGTCAGCGTCCGGTCATCACTTGGAAGCTGTTGCGCGGGTTGAACTGACCGGAGCGTCCGGTCAATATGATCGAAGCGTCCGGTCATCACGTAGAAGCTTATAACGGTTCGTTTTTCAGGCTGCCTTATAAATAGAAGCTCCACTCGAGTGTGGAGTGACTTTTTGCTCATTCCAACAGCTGAGAAACACGTTTGTGAGTGCAAAGAAGAGCAAGGTCCTAGTGAGGTGTTTGTGATTTGAGAATCCAAGAGTGAAACCTCATTAGTGAATCAAGAGTAGACAAGTGTGCATCCATCTTCTCATTAGGCTTCGCGTGGTCAAGTAAGAGTTCGTGCTTGTTACTCTTGGTGATCGCCATCACCTAGACGGCTTGGTGGTGATTGGGAGCTTGGTGATCACCCGGCGGAGCTTGTGGGTGACCCAACTCAAGTTGTGAGCGGTTTTGGGTGATTCGTCGCGACGGAGTGTCGAAGAATCAACCCGTAGAGAGCACTTGATCCTTGCGCGGATCAAGGGGGAGCTACACCCTTGCGTGGGTGCTCCAACGAGGACTAGTGGGGAGTGGCGACTCTTCGATACCTCGGCAAAACATCACCGCGTTTCTTTCTCTCTCTATTTACTTTGAGCACTTACTTTGAGTATTTACTTTGAGCAATTCAATACTTGTTTCACATCCATAGAATTGCTTGCTAGAGTAAGTTTGGAACATATGTTGCGAGGTTGTTGTGCATTAGTTTGATATAAATACTTTTTTAGGCACAAGGGGTTAATTGGGCTATCCGTAGGATTTGATTATTGCAAGAAAATTTAGAATTAGCCCAATTCATCCCCCCTCTTGGGCATCTTGATCTTTTCAGGCATTTCATCAATCGCATCAATGAAGTCGCTATGAAAAAGTAACAACAGAACAAGACTAAACAAGTACTCACCTGTAGGGATCCGGGGCAGAGGGCCGACCTGGCGCCGGCCCGGGGCAGATGGCGGGGCAACGCAGAGGGCGACGCGACCCTGGCGGAGATGCGAAGCCGGTCCGGGGCAGAGGGCGGCACTGGTCCGGGGCAGAGGCCGACGGGCGGGCGGCTCCTCGGGCGGACCTGGAGGCGGGCGGGGCGGCTCCTCGGGCGCTGCGGGGCGGCTCCTCGGGGGCGGCGGACCAAGCAGGGACGGCGCGGCGGACCAGGCGGGGCCGGCGCGATGGCCAAGCCGGTGCTGGGCGAGGCCGGCGCTGCGCGACCCTAGCGAAGATGCGGGGCTCGGCGCTGGGCGGCGACGGTCTGATGGAGCGGTCGAGTGGAGGGGATGTGAAGGGATAAGGTTTGGGGAGGTGAAGGGATAAGGTTTAGGGTTACTGCAGTGCACGTGAATTTCTCAACCCGAGCGAAGCGGTTCCGTCCGCCAGATTTCGACAGAGCAACCGAACCCACGTATTAAAGAAGAAATATTATCCTGGGTCGAACCCAACCCATCTCAAACCTCCGTCCGACCGTGACCCTGCGCTCTGTACCCTGACCGCAGCAGGAGCTCAGGCCCGCCGTCCATGGTGTCAGGCACCTCGGTAACATGAGAATCGCTGCCCCTGCGATCAATACAAGCAGGCAAGCATGCGCCCGTGCATCCCCAAACCCACCTTCGCCTTCTGCCACGCGCTCCTCGCCTCCCGCCTCCTCCCCACCGCCGCCTCCCCAACCGCGCAGCTCCTCTCCGTCCAGGCCCTCCTCGTCACCGCCGGCCTGCTCCCGCGCCACCCGGACCTCGCCCTCCTCGCGCTCAACTCGCTCCTCCACGCGCTCTCCCGCCGCGCCGCGTGCCCCGCCCACCCGCGCCTCGCGCTCCGCCTTCTCCGCCTCATGCTCTCCCCCACCACTCCCCCGGCGTTCCCCGCCCCGGACCACCTCTCCTTCCCCTTCGCGCTCTCCGCCGCCGCCGCGCTCGACGCCGCCCCGGACCCCTCCTCCTCCTCCTCCCCCTCCGCGGCCGGGCCGCAGCTCCACGCGCTGCTCGTCAGGAACGCGCTGTTCCCGGCCGACCACTACGTCACGACCGCGCTGCTGCAGCTGTACTCGCCCCGCCCGGACCTCGCGCGGAGGGTGTTCGACGAGCTGCCGCGTCGTGAGGCGATCCACTACGACCTGCTCATCGGCTCGTACGCGCGCGCGGGGGCGCCTGCCGAGGGACTCGCGGTGTTCCGTGCCATGTTCGCCGCCGCCGCCGCCGACGGGGTGGACCCGGACGCGGTGGTGCTGACCACGGCCGTGGCGGCGTGCGCGCAGGCGGGGGCGCTGGACCTCGGCGCGTGGGTGCACCGCTACGTGGAGCGCGCCGCGCCGGGGCTCCTCGCCGACGCCTTCCTCGGGTCCGCGCTCGTCGGCATGTACGCCAAGTGCGGGTGCCTGGACGAGGCGGTGCGGGTGTTCGACGGCATGCCCGAGCGGAACGCCTACGTGTGGGGCACCATGGTGAGCGCGCTCGCGGTGCACGGGATGGCGGCGGAAGCCGTCGCGTGCCTGGACAGGATGGCGCGGGAGGACGGGGTGCGGCCGGACGGCGTCGCCGTGCTCGGTGCGCTGTCCGCGTGCGCGCACGCCGGGAACGTCGAGGAAGGGCTGCGCCTGCTCAGGGAGATGCGGCCCCGCTACGGCGTCATGCCCGGGCACGAGCACTATAGCTGCGCGGTCGACATGCTCTGCCGGGTCGGGCGGCTCGAGGACGCGGTGGGGCTCGTCGAGACCATGCCGATGGCCCCGCTCGCGTCCGTGTGGGGCTCCGTGCTAGCTGGCTGCCGGAGCTACGGCAACGTCGAGCTGGCGGAGGTGGCGGTGCGTGAGCTCGAGAAGCTTGGTGGCACTGCCGATGAGGGCGTGTACGTGCAGCTGTCCAACATCTACCTCGATGCCAACCGCAAGGATGACGCGCGTAGGGTGCGGAAGCTGATCGGCAGCCGGGGGATCAAGAAGGTCCCCGCGTATAGCGCCGTGGAGGTGGACGGCGAGGTGAGCTCGTTCGTTGCCGATGACCAAGCGCACCCGCGGCGATTTGAGATTTGGGAGGTGCTCCGGCTGCTAGCCGACCAGATGACGCAGAAACCAAAGGAAGAAGAATTTATTGAATTTGTTTGCATGCTCTCAAGAATGTAACGGAGAAAGCTGCTGATACTTTACATATCTGCCGTTTATTTTTTTTTGAAAAATTTGGACATTTCAATGTCATTTGGACCGGGCATCGGCGGGGATATGGCTGCGCTGCTGGCGTGCTCGTGCCGCCGCCCCTGCAACATGGTGCCATGGCATTGTCTTGTGGTTTTGACATGGGTCTACCGACAGATTCTGCACGGACAAGCCTGTGTTGTCCTCTCCACCTCTCCCTGATCTACGCCAACTCACTGTAGTCTGTAACAGACAGTCTTCACCTTTGAAGAGCCCATCGCAATGGTGAAGGAGGAATCAACCCTTGCTTCATCTGCATCTGTTGGCACAGATAAGCATTGTGAAGGCATCTGAGCACTGTAGCATAGACATATCAGTTGAAACCACGGCAACCAGGTCGATGTCTGGAAATGCAGCTGGCCTGTTCAGATATTCAGTCTGTGACCAATCAGATGCCTATTTGGGTTTAAGTTTGCCTCTTCCCTACCATTTTCTGCCATCAGCAGGCAGCAGCAACTGTTGTTAGAATTTTGTTTCTGCTGTTCAAGTTATGCACGCTGAATGAGCACTTTGCCCATCTGGAGTTTGCTAGAATGATGATCGTGAGGATTAGATTGGAAGACTTTCTGGAGTGGTTAGGGTGTAATTGTGTAAAAGAATCAGATTCAGACTGGTTGGACCCAAGTTCAGTCAGAACGATGCTGACGGTGTTCAAGCCAAACATAAACGTATTTGTGTAAGTGATCAAACGTGTTGTGCATCACAAACAACAGATGAATTCAGATACCAGTTCATTTAAATACTGGTTGATGTTCATCTAAAGTCACAGATAGAATGGCAACCATAAATCAGTATTTCAGTTCACATTTTTTCTGTGTGAATCATGGTTGCCATTCTGTCCATGACTTTAGATGAATCAGAATTGGGCTAAGAGTTGAATATTGTGGGACCTTTGTATCGTGGGTCATGGTACAAATAGAGAAGTGCTTAGTTTTGGGCTATTCTGTTCCTTGGCTTTGAAATGGTGATACAAATTGTGCCTTGTGGCATGTATCAATTTAGGACAATGATTGTACTCTTACAATTGAGGTTGAGCGCTAGAAATGCAATTAGTTTCCACATTGGATAAGTTCCTTGCCAATAACCATTTGTTTCAGACATGTCCATAATTTCAGACATGTCCTGTTTCTGTGTTTAAATATCAATTTCAACATATACTTGAAGAAATATTTTTTCAGGTACATACAGCATGGGTAGACTCCGAAGTCCAGAAGCATCTGACCCTCAACGTTCATGGCTGGACTGCAGACTGGATATATTAGCAAGTGCAGCTCTGAACAACTTGAACTTCTCCAAGGTTGACTCACCCTGCGTGTATAGTATTTTTCTTGTTACCTTATCAACCTTTCAGGATTCGTAATCATGTTTTGCCATGACCAATACAAAATTTTGCAGGTTTCAGGAAAGAACTGCATGACGCTACAAGTGAAGTTAAGCAGAAAAAGGACTGGGGGTTTTTGTTCACTGTCAGTCACTAAACTCGTGGACTTGGTACTCTCCGACTTCCCCCAGAGTCAATAATAAGCTTCTGTATCATAAATGAACATCGAGATGACAATCTCGTGACAAAATTTTAATCTCGTTTGGCCATATACCATGCCTACCATTCTAAGCTTAATTGCTTTCCTTGAACATAGCATTGCAGAGGCAGTTGGAGACGGGTTGTTCGACAGAAGAGAGGTGAAGGAGATGGATTGCAAACATCCCTGCAATTGTCTTGGCAAAAGCCTTTCAAGATATGAAGCGTTGTCCTCCTCTTTTTGCTATGACTGTTGTAAAATTAGCAAATAAACTTGTTCTTGTATATATATATGTCAAGGACGTCAGCATTAAGGGTAGCAGGACCCCGACTACGTAGTTCGTAATCGCGATCCTTGACTAAGGCGAGGTTTTACCCCTCTGCACCTAGTTTGTTGGAAGAAGAGAGAAAGAGAGATTAGATGACAATATCTTCATTTTTCCCTTCCATGGTCACCGTACCAGACTAAATAGGCCTTAGAGGCTAACAAACTAGGAGCTAATTGGTCCTTAATCTAAGGAACTGACTTGATACTCTTTCTATCCTAAACACTAGATGGCTCAACCTACTCTGCATGCCCAGAGGGCGACGGCGCGGCCCCAGCAGCGCGCTTGACGGCGCGACGTATGTCTCGGGCGCGCCGTTTCCTTGCATAGGGGCGGCCCCACATGACATCTCTCCCTCCCTCGACGAGCAGCTCGTCCTCGAGCTGGAAGGACGGAAACCTGTCACGAAAGGAGTCCAAGTCTTCCCATGTAGCAGAGGCAGCAGGTTCGCCTTTCCACTGGATGAGCACCTGGCGGATCCCACGGGCCAGGCGAGCGTGCACCGCGTGTTCCGGCTCCGGCTCCACCACACCGTTGTGCATAGCTGGGAGAGGTGGCGGAGCAGTTGGAGGGTTGCCCACCCACTTCTTCAGGAGGCCGACGTGGAAGACATCATGGAGCTTGGCGCGCGGGGGTAAGGCGAGGCGGACAGCCACGTCGTTGATGAGCTCCGTGACGCGGTAGGGCCCGAAGAAGCGTGGCTGCAGCTTCCCTTTGGGCGCCTGGGACAGCGACGCTACTGGGCGATGGCGTAAGCGGAGCAGGACCTAGTCGCCCATGACGTAGGAGACGTGCCGGTGATGCTTGTCGTAATGGAGCTTCTGGACAGCTTGAGCTTGCTCCAGCCGGTACCGCGCGGCCGCCAAGAACTCCTCGCGTTCGGCCATCGTTTGGGCCACAGCAGCCACACGCGTGTCCCTGGGCTCATAGGAGCGGATGGTTGGAGGATCACGGCCATAGACCACCCTGAATGGCGTGTCGTGCAGCGAGGTCTGGTACGCCGTGTTGTAGATGTACTCGGCCCACGACAGCCAGCGGAGCCATTGACGTGGGCGGTCGCCGGTGAAGCACCTCAGTGAAAGGTCCTAATGGCTAGAGGGGGTGAATAGCCAAATAAAATTTCTACAACAACACTTAACAAAATGGTTAGACAATTATGAGACGAATCAAGTGTTGCGCTAGCCTACTTAAAAAACAAGCCGCCTACCGCAATTCTAGTTTCGATAGTATCTAATCACACAATATCTATAACACTACCCTATGTTAGTGTGCTCTCAAAAGCTAACTAAAGAGCCACACCAACCAAGCAAGCAAGCTCTCACAACTAACTACACTAAAGAGCTTGACAACTAGTTTGCGGTAATGTAAAGAGAGTGATCAAGAAAGTTATACCACCGTGTAGATGAAGGAATCAATCAATCACAAGGATGAATAACAATGAAGACCAATCACCTCGGAATCAAATGATGAACACAATGATTTTTACCGAGGTTCACTTGCTTGCCGCAGCTACTCCTCGTTGTGGCGATTCACTCACTTGGAGGTTCACGCTAAATTGGCATCACACGCCAAACCCTCAATAGGGTGTCGCACAACCAACACAAGATGAGGATCACACAAGCCACGAGCAATCCACTAGAGTACATTTTGGCGCTCCGCCGGGAAAAGGTCAAGAACCCCTCACAATCACCACGATCGGAGCTAGAGACAATCACCACCCTCCGCTCAACGATCCTCGCTGCTCTAAGCCGTCTAGGTGGCGGCAACCACCAAGAGTAACAAGCGAAATCCACAGCGAAACACGAACATCAAGTGCCTCTAGATGCAATCACTCAAGCAATGCACTTGGATCACTCCCAATCTCACAAAGATGTTTAATCTATGATGCAAATGAGTGGGAGGGCTTTGGCTAAGTTCACAAGGTTGCTATGTCAATGCAAATGGCCAAGAGAGTGAGCTTGACCCGGCCATGGGGCTTAAATAGAAGCCCCCACAAAATAGAGCTGTTATACCCCTTTATTGGGTTCTGATCGGGCTGACCGGACGCTCCAGTCCTACTGACTGGACGCTGGTCCTCAGCGTCCGGTCGCCTGATGGCGGCCACGTGTCACCTACGTTCAACTATGAACGTTTGATCTCAACGGTCGAAATGTTGACCGGACGCTCCGACACTATTGATCGGACGCTGGACCCTCTGAAAGGACCTAGGATGCCGCCTAGAGGGGGGGTGAATAGGCGTTTCTGAAAATTAACACCTTTAAAAGCGGAAACAATTAGAAGGGGGAGTTTCCAAAATGGAAACTCCAAATCAAGAGTACTACCACCCCTCACAAGTTAGCCACAAAGTAAACAAGGTATAAAGAATATATCTAGAAGCTACAACCCTGCAACACCAAGTTAGAACAGAGAATAAATATTTTCAGTGCAGACAGGAAATACCGGACGTGTCCGGTATGAATACCGGACGTGTCCGGTATACACGATTTCTGCAGATCTGCCCCGAACTTGCTCCTTTCGATTTCTATCTTCAAACCAAACTGCGCAGCACCTAATTTAACTATCGGTATACAGAGAACCTGCACAAGTGCTAGAGCAACACAAATATCAAATGAAATGCGAATTGAGACACGATATTTGTTTTACCGAGTTCGGACTCGTTCGAGTCCTACTCTCCGTTGAGGGGGCTGCGGGTGACCCAAATGAAGGTCAGCCCTAGAGGATACCACGAAGGTCACTCTAGCCGAGTCTTTTCCAACTCCTTTTCCTCCTTCCACTAATTGATTCCGAGGCGGCGGAATCGACCAATTACAAACTTTCCGAGGCACACCACAATCTCCCCGGTGCTCTCCGTGACGTCTAACCGTCTAGGACCGAAGAGTCCAAGAGTAACAAATGCGAATCACGAGATTGACAATATGCACAAGTGCTCAAGTGGTTGGATGGCTCTCTTTTGAATTTCACTCAACCCACAAATTGATTTTGCAAGTTTGATCAATCACTCACTAAGAGAGGGTTGGCAAGGCTCAAAAACGTGTGTCTAAGTCAAGAGAATCAGCAGCCTCCAAAGGTGGAGGCTTGGGGGTATT